AATGATTTAAGTTACAAAACTGTGGAATGGCGGAGAAATTAATAACCCAGACATACTCCGCTATAGCCGAATTGTGCAGGCTGTATGCAGATGGTGTGGCTGGGGGTGGGGAAACTGTCTCCCTGGCTGCTCCCAGCCTGGCGCGTGGGGCTCGGGCTCATTCTGCAAGTCACTTCTCGCTTAGTTTTTAGTTTTTATTTGCTCTCTTGGAGCCACTGCCCTTGCCCTCTTGAGCCCCTTTCTCTCTGGTCTCCTGAGATGCCAACCTCATTTCTTGAAGCCACTGCCTGATTGAAAAATATTTTCCTTCATTCTCCTAAATCTGGAAGAGTTTGTTTGTTTGTTTGTTTTTTGTGCCATTTTCTCTCATGAACTGGTCTTGCCTACAAACAACAAGTATGTTTAATAACTAACAGCTTTGCCTGGTACTTTCTTTGTAAGTATTCTCACATGGAGGAAGAAAGTTTCTTAAAGTCACAGTTTTCAAATTTCCAACAGCTGTAAGTCAGATGATAAAGCTGAAGAGAAAGGTAGCAGGTTTCAGCGCACCTAGAAAGGCCTGTCCATCAAATCCCTGCCGAGCTGCTGCCCTCCCCACGCAGACTCTCGGACCAGCTCCTGACGCAGAAGGAATCCCTTCCTCTGTGATGCAGCACCTTGCTAGTGCCCCTCTTCGCACACCTGCTTCATTTACACCTGTGTAATACTGGCCTTCTTACATGTCTTCTTCCCCTCAGATGTAAGCATCTGAAGGGCATTGGCCTTAGTTTAATCTCTCATTCAACAAATGTTTTCTGAGTAGCTACCATGTGCCAGGCACCTGTCTGAGACCTGGGAAGTTGTAAGTGAGCAATGCTGCAGAGTACTTCCCCCATGCACCTGGGGATCACTGCATTTCCCATTGTCTGTCCTAAGTGCATGAGTTAGCTAACTGCTGTGTAACAAATTAGCCCAAAGCTCAGGGGCCTGAAACAATAATTCACTCTCTCACCCAGTTGTTGAGGAAGCCATGGGTATGCAAGGAAAGCCAAGATTTTTTTTTAACTTTTTCAGATCTAAAATTTTGCTCAGAATTGTGTTTATATATAATACAATCTGGCAGGAATCTGGGAGCAGCCTGGCTGGGCAGTTCTGATCCAGGGTCTCTCATGAGACTGCTGTCAAGTTCTTGGCTGGAGTATAGTCATCTGAAGGCTGGATTTGGCTGCAGAATCTGCTTCCAGGCTCACTCACGTGGCTGTTGGCTGAAGGCCTTGGTTCCACACCATGTAGCCTCTCCATAGGGTGTTCATGACATGGCTGCTGGCTTCCTCCCAAATGTATATTCCAAGAGAGAGAAAGAGCAAGTAGGAGGGAAGCTGCAGGATCTTTTGTGTAAACACCATCACTTCTGCCGTATTCTACTGGTTACACAAACAGATCCTGGAACATGCAGAAAGAGACTACACGAGGGGCAGACATCATCAGGGGACATCTTGGGGGCTGGCTACCACAGTAGGGCAATGGATAGTGAGTATTCAATAAATGCCTGCTACACCATTTCCCACAACAATTCAGAAGTCAAAACTTCTACTTATTTTTTTTAATAGACTTCATTTTTTAGAGTGGCTTTAGGTTTACAGCAAATTTAAGTGGGAAACATACAGTATTCCCATATATTCCCTTCCTCTCCACATGCACAGCCTCCCCTACTATCAGCATTTTGCACCAGTGATGCAACCTGTTACAACTGATGAACTTACATTGACAACTCATTGTCACCCAAAGTCCATAGCGTACAATAGGGTTTGTTCTTGGTGTTGTACATTTTATGGCTTTGGAGAAATGTGTCATGGTACGTATCTACCATCATGGTATCATACAGAATCGTTGTAGTGCTAAAAATCCTCTGTGCCCCACCTACTCATTCCAGCCCCTGGCAACCACAATCTTATTACCCGTCTTCATAGTTTTGCCTTGTCCAGGATGTTATATAGTTGGAATCATATAGTATGTAGCCTTTACATATGGGCCTTCTTCACTTAGTAATATGCATTTAAGCCTCCTCCAGGTCTTTTCATGGTTTGCTAGCTCATTTCTTTTACTTTTTTGATCTTTTTAAGCAGATAAGTGAGCATACTTGTTGCCCTGGCTTTAGTGATTGTACCATTTCGGAGTGTTTTTAATCTTCCACTAAGCTTAAGTATTTTGGATGGTTTCTCAGCTAACATGCTGCTGCCATGTTAAATTAAAAAGTCAATAAATGTGTTTTGGGCAGACTTAGTAACTTGTCTTTCCCCTGAATTGTCTTCTTTCCCTTACATTCATATTCTCTAACTATTGCCAGAACCATTCATGTTCTGCCTGTCTAACCATTTGTGGAAGACCTCTATTTGAACCCTTTATTATGTTCTATTTAAAATAGGTTTTGTTTAAGGTACAAAGCAATCTTGCTAAAAGAACTAAGCTGTCTCAGAGAAAGGTCTATGTCATGTGTGTAGGTTTATAAGGGTCCTGTCACTCGTGGGTGTTTGCTATTAAACGAAAGCCTCAGGAGGAGGGGAAGGGAACCACTCTTTTTGATGGGAAAAAGCAGAGCTGTACCATTTCAGTTTGCCCCACTCTTACCATGAACTACGGACATGCATGCAAACGACAAAGGCAAGATTCAAGTTGGCACTCTTGCTGACTGTGTGATTTCCCTCTTCCTATTCTGATACACTTGACCATCCAGAGATGGTGTTCTACTTGGTGGAATTGAAGAAAACTGGTCCTGCCCTTGTTGCTGACTGGTTTAGGAAAACACTTTCATTCATAGAGGAAGGAAGAGCTCCTTACTTTCTCATTTTCCTCCCTAAGGTGGAAACTTTCTAGCTGAATGACAATTAGGACTAACCTGGCACTTTATGAATCATGAGGTAGCCTCGCTAGTCAAGTTGTGAATGCATATTGTTTGCACTTAATCCTTAACTGCACCACAATCAGCTTCCTAAACTGACTGCAGGTTAGGCAAAGTATAGGGCCTTGTCCCTCCATAAAGAAGCATGTGCAAAAAGTACTCATCAACTGTTTGTTTCTTATTTTGAGAGAATGATTTCTTGTATTGAAGCAGAAATACAAGATGCCACAGAAACTCTAACACTTAACAGAGCATAGTTGAACTTAATTAGACCTTAGGGGAAATAAGAAGAGGGTCAGACAAAGTCAATGAATGGGGAAGCCCAAGATGAATTTGGATAAATATAAGGAGAAGAGCATTTCAGCGTGGGCATCTTCTGATCCTCCCAATAGCTCGTCTGCCACCATTACTACCATCTGCAGAGGAGGCAGGGCTGAGAGCAGGAGAGCTGGGGTGACCATCAGGATGATGGCAGCTCCTTTATGTACAGCACAGAATGCTAGGCCTACCGTTCTGACTCTTGAGGGAAACAGACTTTTCTCTGATAAGTTGCAACCAGACAGCCAGGGGCTTCCAGGAGACAAAGAAAAAAAAGAGATGAAATGTGCAAGAAGCCTACACACTGAGGAGCAGAACAGGTCATAGATCCTAGTGCATGGAAAGGGATGGAAGATTCTGGAAAAGCGAACTTAGGGGGAGTTAGAATGATGTACTTTGTGCCAGCTCTACTGGGAAATCAGGTTAACTCTTCAAAATTTTATAACATTTAAGGGTTGATGAGAATGGCAAATGAATTTGTATTTCTTGACAACTTGCGCCAAAGCGTACCCAAGCTTTTGTGGAAATGTTATGTAATAGTTCTATTTAAATGTTTTAACAGCAGTGTTTTCAGTAAATGGAGTAAATGAGTGGGAAAATGTTCCTCACTTAACAATACCCCTGGGGAGCCAGGGCACCGGCATGGTCACCCCATGTCCCTAACCGAAGCTCTGACAGGACACACAGGTCATAATGTACCTGACAGGTACTAAGTAGTCGGGGCCACATGCTCGCGGGAGGTGGAGAATAAGCATAACGGGGCATGCATACTCTGAGGAAACGCCCTCCATCCATCCTCACCTACCTCCTGGGGTTGGTGCATCCCTTCCTTTCCACCTCGGGTGACATGGCCAGCAGAGGTTAGTGAGTTTCCTGGCCTCTGCACACGCCTCGAAGGAGTCCAGCTGGATGATGACCGGACGTCAGGGCACCTGGTTGTCACCCAGGACTTAGCACCAATGTTTGCATCCGTTCTCTGCAGACCGAAGGGCTGAGACCAAACGGTCCCTAAGCCCCAGCAGAGCGCTGGTATTTTGCTGTTCCGTTCTGGCCGGAGCTGGTGAGCCTTGTGCAGCTTCATAGGATGAAGTCACTGCTTTTCCCTGTAAATCTAAACCCCAGGCTGCAAACTGGTGGTCAGATCCCGCATGCAAATTGCAAATGTGTTTTGTTTTCACTCCCTAGTGCTTTTTTGCTTTTTGTCCTTAAAAAAAAATAAAAGTAGTTGTTGACACTTAAAGATAAGGGGGATTTCTTAAAATCACTTCTGGCTTGTCTTGAAAATTTTGCATCTAGCAACACCTGGCCCTCACTCTTACACCCACACCTCTTCCAGATGTGGCCTGTGCTGCCGGATTCCCCAGGGCCCCCTGTGTTCATTGCCATCCCTTCCTGGCCATCATAGAAGCTGGAGTTTGCAAATCCTCTGAAATCCTCTCCATATTCTCCAGACCTCTTGGGACAATGATGCTTTGTAAAGGTCCCATACTCCAGCCTATGTGAGCTGTCTCCACTGCTTGGCCTGGCTCTAGGAGGGTGGGTCTGTGAGCTGGGGGCGCACCTGGCTGGCTTGTTCATGAGGGCAGAGGGGCAGGAGCAGAGCTAGAGGCTGAAAAGCTTGTCATGGTTCTGAAAAGCTCCCCATCATTACAGCTGCATTACAGATGTGCCGAAGGTGTATCAGAGACTCTGTGTGAACATTGCTGTGCATCAGGGACAGATGAGACCAAACTTAGAAATAGCTCTTTTTAAAAGCTGGGGTTTTCCAGTGTCTGTTTTCCTTCTCCTCCTCCTTATTGTCTAGGTCCGTGCCACAAACGACGGACAGGCGGCTGCTGCACCCAGCTGGGCTCGCTGTCAGCCCTGAAGCATGCTGTCCTCGGGCTCTACCTGCTGGTCTTCCTGATCCTTGTGGGCGTCTTCACCTTAGCAGGTAAGAACACCGTTTCCTGTCCTGGCCTTCAAAGATGCAGAAGGAGATGCATGGCAAGTGAGAGCTGGAGCCGCTGCTCTTTGCTCTCACAGTCATGAGCCCGAACACTGCCCGCGTCACCATGGAAACCACAAGGAGGAAGCTGGCTCGCCTTTCCGACTGTATATCAGGGACAGATGAGACTCTTAGCAGTGCTGCCACTTTCAAGGGGGACGAGGAGTTGGCAGGGGCTATGTGATCTTGGGAAATCTCTGAGTCCAGGAGCAGAGGCCCAGCTGCTCTGAGTGGCGTCTGGCGATTCCCACACTGTTGTGCGATACCATGCATTACTCTGGGCCTCCAGTGTAATCGTTTGCACAGAGTGGGCTGGGTCCTTTGTCCTGGGGCTGTGATGAAAACAGACATGAGACACTTTGCTGCTGATGCTAATCTGGGTCACTGTAAACTTGCTGCTCTTTTGCAGGTAGTGGGGGTGGGATGGGTTTGTCCCAGTTCAGCTGGGCTCGTCTCCCCAGTCTGTGTCTACCAGACAGGCTGGTGATGAGCTGGAGTTTGGAGCACATTCTCTAGCCAGGAAGAAGCAGGCCTCAGGGACTTAGGAAGGGAGCAAAGAAGGACCCTGGCTTCGAGCAGCCCAGCTTACTGCTCACAGGTCAGCCCCTGGTGATGGAGACGGCGAAGCAGATAGGGACACAGGCTGTGGTGGTCTCTCCTGACTCACACCCAAGGAAGGGATGCTCAATCCCCACCTTTCTCCATGGAGGCATGTAGGACTTAACCAAGTTAAGGCCAAGGGATCAGTTTATCTCAACCTCACCTGTCCTGCCTGAGTGCTGACTTTGTGCCAGATTCCATGCCAGGATTGGAGACACAGCTAACTAAGACCCAGGGGCTTTCCTCAAGGATTTTCCAGTCTGGGGGATGGAGCAGAAGCACACAGATACAGCCCTGTCTCCAGGCAGAATGCCACAGGTTCTAGACCAGGGACTGCATGTTGGCACAACGGGAGCTATGGAAATTTATAGGAGGCCATGGTGCAGAAGTGAAGGCATTGCTGCTGGCTGGCAGAGCTGGTTGGAGTGCTGAGGGTGGGCAGCTGGAGTTACTTGCAGGCCAGGAATTTGGAGGGGAAGCTCTTGCTGAGGACCCTTCCCTGGAAAGCCTAAGGCAGATGTCCAGGACCTCCTGGTCTCAGGCTCATTTTCTGCCAAGCGAATCACTTGGTCCCTGTGATGGGACAGTCAGTGCTGCCTTCACCCTCAGGTTTCCACACTCAGGGAGCAGGACGTCATCAGGGGTGGTGCCTGTCCCACCGATGACCTGGGGGGCAGCCAACAGCAGCAGAGAGAGAAACTCATGATTCATCCCAGACCAAGGGATCATGTCTGGCCAGAGGATGACTTGAACATATTCTTGGGCTGCCCAGTGAGAGTTTGGGATCTGGGTTTTGTGGGCTTGGCAGGCACAACCATAACAAATTTCCAGAATTTCTGTGAAGTATTTCAGCACAGCAGGGAAGCAGGGCTGTGGTACTGCAGCGACTCTGCTAACAGGGACCTCGAGGTGACATCAGTGGGTCTAGAGGAGGGACCCAGGCTGGCAGGGATGCCGGGGCAGGTCTCTGGAGGCCCAGGAGGCCTGGAAGGCCATCAGCTCTCAGGAAGACAAGATTGCAGGGGGATGAAAGTTCTCTTTCGGTGTCTGAAGGGCTGCCACATGGAAGAGGGCAATGCCGTCTGTGTGGCCTCAGAGGGTAGAACTGGACCAAGAGGTGGATTTTGTAAAGGGACAGATTTCCATTCAAAATAGAGGAGAGTCTAAAAGGCAGGGCTGCCCAGCCTGATGCAAAAAGGCTTTTCTGCTGGCCTGGAGTTCGAGCGGGATTTATGATGACATCCTGGACATTTCAAAGGGAGGGTGGACCACGGTTTCCCAATCTAATGAGAACGTTGCCATGTTTCCTTTGCTGTTCCCTGGGGACATATGGGGAGGATTTTGATCATTATGATCACCTTTGAACCTGAAGTTTCCTGATGCCAGATTGCCTGTGTAGAGTGGAATTTTGGGTGGATTGGAACTGATTTGGTAAAACACAGCATCGTGCAATCTCTCTTGGCTCGGTGAGGTGGCCACTGCCACCTTCCCAGGGTCTTGTCCGGGAAATCATACTGGCCTCTGGGAGAGGTTTGGTGAGGCTGGCCCATGAGAGAGTACAGTCACCAGTGGCCTTTGCCCTCTGGAAGGGACTTAGAATGTGGAAGACGAGTCTGGAGTTCGCCCAGGAGGCCCTGCCTGACCTTAGTAGGATGTTTCTCTAGATTACCCTGATTGAAGACCTCCAGCAATACTTCCTTTCTGAAAATGCCAAAATGTGGGGGGTGATTCCTGGTTCAGCATAAACCAGAGCTTGCCTGACTTCAGCTGGGGGTCCTGCTCTGGCCACTTCCCCATTTGGGGCAGAACTGCTCTTGAGTGCCTGCTGAGGTCACCTTGCACAGGTGGTGCTATGGACTGAACTGTGTTCCCCCCAGATTTATATGTTGAAGCCCATCCCCCGGCATGGTGGTATTAGGTGGTAAGGAGCTCATGAGGGTGGGACCCTCTTGATGAGATTAGTGCCCTTATAGGAAAAGACACGAGAAAGAATGAGAGAAAGAAAGAGAAAGAGCGGTCGGCCATGTGAGGACACAACAAGGAGGGACCGTCTGATAGCCAGGGAGAGGGACCTCACAACAACAGAATCTGCCAGCACTTTGATCTTGTACTTCCAGCCTCCAGAACCATGAGACATGGATGTCTGTTGCTTAAACACCCCACTCTGTGGTGCTTGTTACAGCAGCCCTGGCAGACTGAGACAGAGGAGTTCTGTTTGAACCACTCCTTGTCTTTAAAACCTCCCCACTGGAACAAAGCTTATACATTTTTCAACTGGATGGCGAAATTACCCAGTGCAACCAAGTGCCAGGGCTGAATACCTGATCACAATATCTGACTGGAGCACAAACACTTGCTCTTACTGTTTTTCAATATTCTAATTATATAAAAATATTATTCTTAGAAAACCTCACATGGAATGACTCTCAGCTCATCTCTTTATCCAACAACTACTTAAAATAAAAAGCATGTGCTGCACCATGTGCTTATGTATCTTCCCAGCTTCCCCGGCAGAGGGTTAACCCAGCCGTTGCCCAGATATCTTCTCCATGGGGCTTTCTACCCACTGTCTGCCTATCCATTCCTGACCAGCGCCACTGGGTTCTACACCCCCAGCCTCCACCACTTCCCAAGGAGAGGGCATTCCTCCATCCTCCCCACCCCCAAGCTCCTCTCTGCCTTTCTACCTCTCCAGCCTGTTTTGTGTATGGCAGGCACAGATGGTTCCCTATCACATTTTTGTTCTGTTCCAGATTCATTTCTGGGCAGTACAGACTGTTGGGCTTAAGTTCATGAACTGGACACCTGAGACTGGACGGCCATGTGGTCCGGAGGTGCTCAGCAGAGCACTTTAGGGAAGATGCTCTTGGAGAGGGAGTTCAGGGGTGAGAGGAGGTGCGGGCTTACCTGGGACATCACTGTGGTGTCACTGAGTGGCCATCAGGAACTACATCTTCCTCCCTTCCCTGTCACAAAGCCACTGAGGGTTCTGAATTCCCACTTTAAAAATGAAGCAGCAGAAAGGGGCTGTGCAAATGTGTGCGGGTCTGACATGGCGGGAGGGTGAGAAGTGCGGCTATGTAGATGACGGAGGCACCCAGGCAGCTCCCGGGCAGGGGGGCCCCTTTCCCACCTTCCGCCAATTCTTCCTCGGCTGTGACAGTCTGACGTTCCATCCTCCTTCTCTGTAGGAGCTTCACATGAGGGCACAGGGCGTACCCAGCACCGGAGCAGGGCCTGCTGCTCCGGCCCATCCAGCTGCTATAGCTGCTGTAGGCTGGGGGCTTAGGACAATTTATGTCTCACGTTTCTAGAGGCTGGGGAGTCTGAGGTCAAGACATTGTCAGATACGGTATCAGGCGGGGACCCACTTCTCATGCACGGACAGCCGTCTTCTTGCTGTGTCCTCACGTGGGGGACAGGGTGAGGGGGCTCTCTGGGGTCTCTTTGACAAGGCACGCGTCCCATTCACAAGGGCTCCACCCTTGTGATGGCCTCACCTCCCAAAGGCCCCACCTCCTCATACCTTCACATAGAGGGTTAGGATTTCAACATATGGATTTGGGTGGGACACAAAATGTTCCGTCTCTAGCACAGGAATAAAAAGAATCACGAGATCTGATTTCTGCTCTGGAAGGGTTTAAAGCCATAAACACACATGCACATTGGGACAGTATGATGTAGCTAATGCTACACGCCCAATTATGCAAGAGAGAGCCTGATTTCTGGGAGCCGGAGGGGCTCAGCTGGCAGGGAGCTCAACACCAAGTGACCCGAAGGTCACTGGCATTAAGCACCCCTCTTTTTGATCGCCTTGTCTTGAATTGGTCTGTCCCTGACCCTATCATCAGAGAACAGTTTGCTCAGAGCCCATACCCGTTTATGTGGCAGATTTCTGACAATTCACAGTGTGGTACCCTCGACCCTCCTTTACTGAGACGCTGTCAGACACAGCACCGTGAGCTCCCACGCTGAGATTTTCACAGTGGTGTTGTCACGGACATTCATTCCATTACAGTGTCGCCTGGGAGGATGCATGGAGAAATTAGTTTCTGTCTGAGTCTCAGAAGGAGGGGTGTGATACTTGAGAAATTTGTTTGTTTTCCCCTTAAGGAGACTGTGAAACTGAAAGTAATTAAAATTGCTTTCAAGGAGGTAATTAATGCAAATGGAGCATGAGTTGTCATCCCAGTATAAGGTGTGTAAATCTGAAGGCAATTAACATGGAAACCTGGAGACGCATCTGTGTTCTTCCCATAGCCCGTGTATAGACTTAGGGAACACATGTCTGTTAGTCTCATCCTATCTCCATCTAGTGTCTTGAACTTGTTCTTTCTTTATCTTCT